TATGCATTTGTCAAAGCATGACAGGTTTTTTTTTCAACTGTGTGATCATCATATTAGAATTCCTTATAATATTTTTGTTTCTAAGATGTTTGAAAATCATGGACATGTGAAAAATGCCCAAGTTTTGCAACATCAGAAAGATGAGTGTAATCCTGTGCTTCATACTATGTTTATGACTTAGGACAAGTAGTGGCATTTCTCAGAGTACCTAGTAAGGCATCTGTTATATGACTGAATTAAGTAATACATTATTCAAATAGGCTTCATCCAGTCAAAGGCTGAGAACAAAACTGATATTGTATGGTATCACTTTATATAGAATTTAAAATTATGAAGTCAAACTCATAGAAAGAGAGTAGAATGGTGGTTGCCAGGAACTGGGAAGTGCAGGAATGGGAAGATGTTGGTAAAAAGGTGTAAACTTTCTATTATAAGGTAAATTCTGAGGATCTAAGATATACCATGGTAATTATAGTTGACTAGAGGCCTGGTACATGAAATTGTGCACGGTAGAGTCCCTAGGCCTGGCCGGTGATTAGGGCTGATCTGCTGATCGACTGGCCAGGTGATCATGGAAGGGGGCGGAAGACACACGGACTACAACGACACTGCTGAAACGTGCCTTGGCCAGCCTGGGGCCTGCAGGCTGGGGGTAACTCCTGTGTTGAGTGTCTGCCCCTTGTGGTCAGTGTGCATCATAGCGACTGGTTATTCCCCTGGTTTAATGTGTGATTTAGGCTTTCATTATCCTATCTAATAAAAGAGTAATATGCCACCGCCAAAACTGGTTTGGCTCAGTGGATAGAGCGTCGGCCTGCGGACTGAAAGATCCTGAGTTCGATTCCGGTCAAGGGCATGTATCCTGGTTGAGGGCACATCCCCCAATAGGGGGTGTGTAAAAGGCAGCTGACTGATGTTTCTCTCTCATTGATGTTTCTAGCTCTCTATCCCTTTCTCTTCCTCTCTGTAAAAAAATCAATAAAGTGTATTTTTTTAAAAAGAGTAATATGCCAATTAACCATCAATCTGCTATACCAACCAGCCAATCAGCGAGTATGCAAATTAACCCAACCAAGATAGGTGCGGCCACAGAGAGCAGGAGAGAGGCTTGGGTTTCCCTGGCAATGGAGGAAACCAAGCTTTCCACACACCGTGGAAGGCCCAGGCCTCCACTCAAGAATACAAAGTTTCAATTACAGAAGGTAAATAAATTCCAACAGAAATGGCGGCAGCCATGGAGCTGGAAGAGCAGGAGGCTAGGGTTGCCCTGGGAGATTAAGGAAGCCAAGCTTCTGCAGCCCTGGCTGGCTCAGGCCTTCACTCCAGGCTATAAAGTTTCAATTATAGAAGATACATAAATTCCAACAGAAAGGTCTGCCACAAGGGAGCAAGCAGGAGGCTTGGCTCCACTCTAGGCTACAAAGTTTCAATTGTAGAAGGTAAATAAATTTCAGATACAAGGGCCTCCACTTGGGTCACCGGGGATGTGTGGCTGGCCTGCAAACTACCACAGGCCCCTCATCCAGGCTGCCCCATGCCTCAAGGGAACCCCCACCCTGATCCGGGACACCCTTCAGGACAAACCAGCTGGCCCCCACCCATGCACCAGGCCTCTATCCTATCTAATAAAAGAGTAATATGCAGATTGACCATCACTCCAACACACACAAGGTGGCTGCCCCATGTAGTCAAAGATCCTGCCCCCATGTGGACACAAGATGGCCACCAAAAGATGGCCAGCAGGGGAGGGCAGTTAGGTGTGACCAGGCTGGCAAAGGATAGAAATTGGGGCAAACAGGTTGGCAGGGGAGCAGTTAGGTATTAATCAGGCTGGCAGGGGAGTGGTTAGGAGGTGATCAAGCTGGCAGGGAGGTGAGCATTTGGGAGCCAGCAACCCTGGATTGTGAGAGGGATGTCCTGTGGGGATCGGGTCTAAATGGGCAGTCAGACATCCCTTGAGGACTAGATTGGAGAGCTGCAGGCTGGGCTGAGGGACACTACCCACCCCCCTCCCCGTGCATGAATTTCATGCACCAGGCTTCTATATAGGATAATATTGTATTGTACAATTATATAGTTGAAATTTGCTGTGAGAGTAGATCCTAAGCTCACCAAATTTTTTTTAAAGAGTAATTATGTGAGATGATGGATGTGTTAATTTGATTTGGGAATCCTTTCATAATATATACATATATCAAATTATATTGTACACTTTAAATATGTTACAGTTTTGTCAATTATACTTTAATAACGCTGGAAATTTGTCTTTTGCCTTCTAGTGCATCATCCCTCATTCCCTTTACCTCTCAGATCACTCCATTCTTTATTTCTTTCACTGATTCTTCTTTTTTGGACCAACTGTCAAAAGTTGAATTCTGCTTTCCTCTGACTTTGGCCTTCTCATTTTATATGTCTGCAGTGTCCCTGGGTGACTTCTTCTACACCCATGACATGAACTGCATTATCTATATGCTGATGACTCCTGAATCTACTAAGCTATGAATCAAAGCTTTATTCTCAAATATCCCTCTGCCTACTCAATCAGGTTGTACCACAGATTCATCAAAATGCAGCAGGTCCAAAAAGCTAATTAATTAATTTTGCCTTTGTATTCCCCCATCTCAGAGAATATCCCTCTCTTCCTAGTTGCCCAAGCTACAGTTCTTCTAGACCAGTGGTCTTCAAACTGCGGCTCTAGAGCCACTGCGGCTCTTTGGCCCCTTGAGTTTTTAGCAAAGGCCAGCTGAGGAGTACCCTAATTAAGTTAATAACAATGTACCTGCCTGCCGAAGCCGGTTTGGCTCAGTGGTAGAGCGTCGGTCTGTGGACTGAAGGGTCCCAGGTTCGATTCCAGTCAAGGGCATGTACATTGGTTGCGGGCACATCCCGGTAGGGGGTGTGCAAGAGGCAGCTGATCGATGTTTCTTTCTCATCGACGTTTCTAGCTCTCTATCTCTCTCCCTTCCTCTCTGTTAAAAATCAATAAAAATATATTAAAAAAAAAACACAAAAAAACAACAACAAAAAACAATGTACCTGCCTATATAGTTTAAGTTTAAAAAATTCGACTCTCAAAAGAAATTTCAATTGCTGTACTGTTGATAATTGGCTCTGTTGACTAATGAGTTTGCCAACCACTGTCCTAGACTCTCCTCCTTCACTAACCCTCATGCTTACAGTTACCAAATTCTTCTGAATCTATTCTCCCCCTCAAATCTCTCAAATTATTCCTTTTCCTTTATTCCTCATATACTGCCTTTGTAAAGACATTTAATAATTTCTGATGTAGACCTAGTCTCAAATATTTCTTATCCTGCTTTTACCTTTAGTCCATTTCCCCCACTTACACCAGAAAATTTATTTTCTTATAAATCTTATTAATCCCCTGAGCAAAATTTTGGTTCAGTGTCTTGCTGTAGCCCATAAGATAAAGTTTAAATGGCAACATATGCTGTTTATGTTCCCCACCTATGAGACTTACTTTTTTGCCTAATTGTACTATGCATTTTAGCTGTACTGAACCACTTGTAGTTTCCATATCTTCAGATTTCTGCATACGCAGTCTCAGCACCCTGTACTGCCTTCCCATACACACACACACACACACACACACACACACACACACACACAGGCCTTCCTTTACAAAGTCTTCCCTGACACTCCCAGAGAAATTTTCCCTTCCTTTGGCTCCTTTGGCATCCTATGAAAACACTTTGCCCTGGCTGGTTTTGCTCAATGGTTAGAGTGTCAGCCTGTGAACTGAAGGGTTTCAGGTTCAATTCCCAGCCCAGGTTGGAGTATGTGGGGGAACGATATGTTTCTCTCACATTGATGTCTCTCTCCCCACCCCCACCCCTTTCACTCTCTCTAAAGATCAATGGTAAAAATATCCTAGGATAAGGATTAAACAAAAAGAAAAACACCTTTGTTACAGCACCAATAAATCCATTTGACCAGAAGAAAAGTAATAAAACTTTAGTAGATTTTATGTTCCTAGAATTTAGGGTATTCTAGGGAATATTTGATAAATGTGTGATTAGCTCAATCCAGCAATTAAAAAAAATTGTTAAGTAAAGGAAATTTTTCTTTAAATAAAATGTTCTGCAAGATTCTGATATGTAGACTAGACAAAAGCCAGAAATCCCATCACTTAATCCTCTTCTGCTCTGCCTTTTACGTGCCAGTGCCTTCACTGGGCACAGTGTGAAAACCACTGGTTTAAAGGCTGTCCTAGCTCTAGCTGGTTTGGTTCAGTGGATAGAGCATCGGCCTATGGACTGAAGGGTCCTCAGTTCGATTCCAGTCAAGGACACATACCTGGATTTCAGGCTTGACCCCCAGTAGGGGACGTGCAGGAGGCAGCCGATCAATGATTCTCTCTATCATTGATGTTTCTCTCCCTCTTCCTTCCTCTCTGAAATTAATAAAAAATAAATAAATAAAAATAAAGGCTGTCCTAAGTTGACTAGATATCTGATCTGTCAAAAATCTGTGCTGATATATGCTACAACATGAATGAACCTTGAAAACATGTTAAAGGAAGACACTTGACACAGAAGGCCACATTTTTGTAAGATTCCATCTGTATGAAATGTCTGGGATAGGCAAATCCCTAGAGACAGAAAGATGAGTTGTTATCAGGGGCTAGGAGAGAAGAATGAGTGCCTGCTTAGAGGATATGGGGTTTCTTTCTTTTTAAAGGAGGAAACTCAATTTATATTTTATTTTATTTTATTTTATTTTTTTCCCATCACCACTTATCTCCCCTATACCCTTTTCCATCTTCACCTCCCTCTGGGGTTTCTTTTTGAGGTGGTGAAAGTATTAAGGAATTAGAGGGTGGTGATTCTGTATATTCAATCTGTGAATATACTGAAAACCACTGAAATGGCACAAGGGTGAATTTTATATTATGTGATTTATATCTCAGTAAAGGAAATTACAGTGACATATATTCTATCCAATGACATTGATTAAGAGAAAGGAATTGCTATAAAAATATGTTAGGCATGAGTTTGTTTCTAGCCTATCTTAATAAAGGAGTAGTATGCAAATTGACCATCACTCCAACACACAAGATAGCTGCCCCCATGTGGATACAAGATGACTGCCACAAGATGGCCAGCAGGGGAGGGCAGTTAGAGAAGGGCAATGTGGGTGATCAGGCCAGCAGGGGAGGGGAGCTGAGAGTACCAGGCCTGCAAGGAAGGGCAGTTAGGGTTGATCAGCCCTGCAGGGAAGGGCAGTTAGGGGTGACCAGGTGGCAGAGGAGGGAAGTTGGGGGCAACCAGGCCTGCAGGGGAGGGCAGTTTGGGGGGAACCCATATTAGCAGGGGAGAGCAGTTGTGGGGACCAGGCCTGTAGGGGAGGGCAGTTAGGGGTGACTAGGCCTGCAGGGGAGAGCAGTTGGGGGGAACCAGGCCTGCAGGGGAGGGCAGTTAGGGGCAAACAGGCAGGCAGGGGAGCAATTAGGCATTAATAAGGCTGGCAGGGGAGTGGTTAGGGGGTGATCAAGCTGGTAGGCAGAAGCAGTTAGGGGCAGTCAGGAAGGCAGGCAGGTGAGCAGTTGGGAGCCAACAGTCCTGGATTGTAAGAGGGATGTCCAGCTTTAGATCCCAGTAGGATCAGGCCTAAGTGGGCATCTGGACATCCCTCTAAGGGTCCCAGATTGGAGAGGGTGCAGGCTGGACTAAGGGACACACACCCCTGTACATGAATTTTGTGCACCAGGCCTCTAGTAATGTTAATATTTCTTTATAAAGTTATATGTAAATAACTGTTATCCTTGTCTAACTGGGAAGAAATGTTTTAGGACTGGGAACTAGAGTCCTAAGAATTATTTTCAAAGCAGCTTTTATTGCTGAATCTATCCAGTCACTCTAAGGCTTACCATGAACTCTAACCAATGCCTTATGTTCATAGAAACCCACTTTGAAAAGCCCTTTAGTTTGAGGATGATATTGATAGCATAGAAGCTGTGAGGACGTGGTGACTTCCTAAGGAAGGAACCTCAGTTCTGAAGGAGCTAAGTAAGGACACCAGGGCTAATGGGTTAAGGTGGGGAGGAACTAGTCTGGGTAATAGGCAGAGTCCTTGACACATTAGGCTAAACTTTGGGGGTCAGGTGGGTTCTGGGAAAGAACAAAGGATATAGGTCCAGGCCACCCACATTCAGGGAGTGGGTTAAGGTCTGGAGAGTAAGATGAGAGCCTCCTTGAAGAGGTGCTATCTCAAGGGGAGGAGAGGATCAGCGGAGAGAGGGCTGAGAGTGAGAGTGGAATATCTTGGGTTTGGGCAGTAAGTCACATCGAGGCCTTATCCTCAGCCTCAGTACTCCAATGTGGGTAAACACTCTCAGGAGCTATCCTTGAAAAATGAATTAGTGCAAATCAGAATCTTATCTCCTTTTGATAAATAATGAAGAAAGCCCCAAGACTTTAACACCTTTTCTTCATCCTCCCATTCTTCCCTAGATTAACATCCTACAGATAGCAAAGAGATTCACACATCCATACCCAGAGTCCGGAGGTGGATCCCAGCTGCAGACACCCACATACACACAAGTTTAGCCATGCCCTTTTATTTTGTTTAAATGGAGCCACGTGGGTGGGGTTAGTGGCAAGGGGGCTCTCACCCCTCACACTGCCTTGTTCTTCTGGGTCTCAGCAGCTGCTGCAGTCGCTGGGATAGGTGTCCCAGTGCAGGCCGATGGCATTAATGAGAGAGCCAGAGCGGCCACTGATGAATCGGAGCACGGTGTTGGGGTGCAGGGGGACAGCATTGAAACTGGTGCCTGTGTCTTTTCCAAAAGGCAGGTAGCGGCCCTTGTCAGTCACGAAGACCAGCTTCCTCAGATAGTACTTGTACTTGCCAGACACCTGGATCACTGATTCCCCGGGGTGCAGAAAGATCTCCTCCAGGTCTCCCTGGTTGCCACCCACATAGTCGCTCCACACCTTGCCATAGCGCACCTGGAGACTGGGGACAGGGTGAGGAGGGAGAAAGGGGAGACACTGAATAGGCCTGTACCCTGAGACCTTCAAACTGTGACGGGGATGATAAGCCTCCTGCCAGTTCCACAGTGTGTGAGGGTTGAGTGGGCCCTTGGAGATCATACAGGGAACTTCAACTCCTCATTTTGAACAAACAGACTCACAGAGGGAAAACAACTTTCCCAGAGTCACTGCCAGAGCTTGAGCTTGAAGTGTAGACTCCCACTGTACCCTCACTCCCACCCAAAAGCAGCAAAGCAGTTTCTCAAAAATCTGAAAGGCTCTCGTGAGGGAAAAGACTTGTCTTTGCTGTACCAGCATGCGGATCAGAAGGATACACATCATGCAAGGATGGAGGATGCCAGAGGGGATTTAAACCTGGGGTAGGGCCCTGGCCAGGTAGGTCAATCCTGATATGCATTAGCCCAATATGCTAAGGTTTTGGGTTTGATCCCAGGTCAGACCACATACAAGAAACAACTAGTGAATGAATAAAAATATTAAACAACAAATCAATGTTTTTTTCTCTCTTCCTCTCCCTTAAATCAATAATTTTTTTTAAAGTAAAAAAAACCAAAACCTCGACTGGGGCCAAACTAGACAACTTCCAGGCCCCTGAGAGTTTATGTATGTGACTGATCCAGGATCACTCATGTTTGGGTTGTAGAGGTTTCAGCAGTGCAGGTCTCGAATCCAAGCCTCTCACAGCTCTCACATACCATGTTATCCCTGGGACTTGTTGATTGAAACAGATGTGACCCAAAGCAACTGAGAACTTCCCAATTTAGTAAGATCTCAGAAGGTCCTCAAACCACAGAAACTCAGTGAATCTTACCCTACGATGTAGTATTTGTTGACTCGGACACGCAGGGCAGTGATGGGGCCGTCCATCTGGTTGCCAGAATGAGAGAATCGACGTCCGCCACCGCCTCCATACTCTCCATTGTAGGAGGAGGACCTGGGCTGAACTGAAAGGGAAAGTAAGAGAGTGAGGGAGAAATTCCCTGAGAGCTGTTTCTCCCTACCACGCATATTCCTCCCACAACTCGGTTCCCAGCACCCCAAGCCTGCCTCTGAAAGCCTTGGCCGCCAGCAGTGACCCCCGTGCTGGGTTCCCAGATTCTCACTTACTGGCATTGGCAGAGGCCGATGCACAAAGAAGGGCAAGAACAGCAATGGCCAACATCCTGGCGCTGGAACGGGAAGAAAGGAGAAAGTGAAGATTTACCCTATTCCTCGGGATTTTATTTACTCAGACATCCCTGGCCTCCAGTTGAGACTCAGACCTAGCTGACCCAGTCTTGGCTTTGAAAGGATGGCATAGTCTCTAGTCCTGTTCCTCTCAGAGACTATCTTCTGTGTCCTTATCCCCTCTACCTCTCCTTGGTCTGCCTGTAGCCAACTCCCCTGTCTGTCCCAAGGCAGAAGATCAATCCTAACCCTCTATCTGGATTCAGCTGTATGAGCGCTGTTCCCTCCTGGCACAAAGCAGGAAAGGAGTTTTCTTAAGAAGACGAGACAATCTCCAAACCATAGAAATGGTTGAGTGTACCAGACCAGGTGTCTGAGAAAACCTAACTGAATTCCAGCCGGGGTAGATAGGCCTGACTTATGGGGCATCTGGGGCATAGTTTAAATTCCTAGATTAATCCTGGTCTCAGAAGGAAAAGAACACGTTAGAGTTGTGTCTCTGTCACCTGAGGAGTGAAGGCAGTCAGAGAAGAGACTGCCAGCACCAGTTTCCAAGCAGTTCTGGTGGAGAGGGATAGACTGAAAAGTTGTATGAGTTGAGACTAGCTCAAGATATTAGATCCCTGGTGCGTAATCTATTTGTTATAAACCTTTCTCCATTATCACAAATATGGCCATGTCCATGCCCCTGAGCATCCCAAGCGTCCCCAGTCTTTCAGCTGAGACCCAGATATCGATACACCTGACTAATTCCGACCTCTTCTCCTGCTCAGCTTGGATTCCCCCTAACTGAAATCCAGGTTTGCTTGCTTTCCCTTAGCTCAGGCCTCTGCCACCCCTTACCTGGCAGCTTCAGATGCAAGGTAACCCCCCAGGATCCTGCAGGTCTTTTATACCAGTTCTAAGCCCTCTCCCTTCTCTTTATCGTGTGAACCTCACCTCCTGGGCAAACATGACCAATCTCTTAGGGTCAGTTGTCAGGCAGGGTCTGGAACATTTTATCCAGCCCCTCCCCTTAAGGGTTACAGGTGGTTGGGTGGGGTCCACTCTAGGCCAAGGCCCAGAGTGGCTCAGGAGGAGCAGAATAAACCTGAGAAATATCACCAAGCAAAGGGCAAACAGCTTTGGGTGGACAACGTCACCAAATCACCTCTGGGTGTGGCCTAGGGTTCTCCCTCCTCTACTGGATGTTTACAAGTGCTCTCCCCTACAATCTGTTCTCTTTTTGAATAACAATGCCCTCTCCAGCCATTAGAAAGGAATTGCACTGTCCACATCTTAGGAGAGCCTACTATTTGCCTGACAAATTTTCTTTTTCTTCTTCCCTAGTATTTTATGTGAAAAAGTTCAAACATATAGAAAAAGTAGAACAATTGTACAGTGAATACCCATAGGGGGACAGAGAGTTAGAAACGTCGATGAGAGAGAAACATCGACCAGCTGCCTCTTGCACCCCCCCCACTGGGGATGTGCCCGCAACCAAGGTACATGCCCTTGCCCGGAATCAAACCCGGGACCTTTCAGTCCGCAGGCCGACGCTCTATCCACTGAGCCAAACCGGTCCCGGCTGAAAGCCTTTTTAAAGGAAAGGGCTTATTGAGCCAAGTGCTAGCCAGAAAAGGACAGTCCTGGAACGAGAAGTCTAAACCAGCAGCAGCAGGGCCAGGTGGAGCAGATAAGCGTGTCTGCTGTCCTGGAGTTACACAGCTCTATTATCCATATGTTTGGGAGAAGGAAGATGTAAGTTGTTTTGAAAGAACTTATCCAGGCTACAGATAAAGGGGAGGTGGGGGTGGGGAAAGTTGAAGGGGGACTCTCTAGGATAGTGCACAGTCCATAAGGAAGAAATATTTATTACTCTTGATTATGTACAGGCGACAGTCCTGAAAGTTCTGGCAGATTCAGGATGTGGTGGTGTCCAGTGGTGGCTACAGATGCCTGGACTTGAATCAAAGCCAGGAATGCAGCTGTCTTTTGCTCATTGGCCCACAGCTAATAGAAAGTTAATTGTTTGTGCTTCTTTCTCTTACATTCTGGCAGCTGTAATTGAATTTGAAATGTTTCTCTTGTAACTCTTCCTTTATGTCTTGATCTTCAAATACATCTGCTCTGAGGCTTTTTTTTTCTTTTTTTGAGGCTTTTCTTCACATTCCTTCTGCCATATATATATATATATATATATATATATATATATATATATATATTTTTTTTTTTTTTTTTCCTTTCTGCCTCTTCTCTGTCTCTCTACCTCTTCCAAGCTTTTTCTCTCTTTCCCTCTGTCCTCTCACTGTAGTCCATCTCAACTCTTTCTCTGAGGAGCCTATCACACAGTATGTGTATGACCAGAAACAGGAAGTCAATGATAGCAGCTCAGAGAGGTCTGGAGGTGGACACCATGTGAGAATGCCCTCATATTTCCATGCATGACACATCAGGGACCCTCAGAATGCAAGCTCCCACACTTGCCACAGGTTCACTCTGATGTACCGATCCCGCCTATGCAAAGACCAAGAGTCTCTTCCAGGCCTGCAGACTGGTCCCTGGGTTCCCCACAGCAAGTCTCAGTCCCCTCCTCAGAGCATAAGAGATACCTTTCCTGTGGTGGGAGGGGTCTCCGGGTTCACCCTCCTCAGGCCCCACAGACGAGGAAGACCACTGTGTAGCTAATGCTGGTACGGGTAGGACTTGCTCTGATGCAGTGCCTGAAAAGCCGGAAGGAAGAAGGGGAAGGCAATGGGACACCAGGCCCCACTCTGCTTCCACCTCATCAGTTCCCACCTAATCTGTTTCATATTTTTAAAATTGATTTTAGAGGAGGGGGTGAACATCTGTGTGAGAGAAACATTAATCAGTTGCCTCCCTTACATGTCCCAATTTGGGATCAAACCTGCAACCTAGGTATGTGCCCTGACTGGGAATCGAACTTGCAACCTTCCAGTGCATGGGATAATATTCCAACCAGCTGAGCCAAATGAGGGCTGATCTGTTTCATATTTTACCCGTATGCCAGCTGTGAGCCTACCTGCCCCTTAAAATCCAGATAAAGTTACCATAACCCTTGCCCCATCCCCAGTCCTACAAGCAGTGAAAGCCTAAACTCTTTCAAAGCTTCCTGCTATTGACAGCTTCCTGCTGTCTCTATCCCTCTCAGTCTCCTCTGCCCCTGGCAAAGCAACTCATTCAACACACATTTATGTGTTGAAGGCACTTTCTAGATGCTGAAGAGATAGCAAAGAGGAAGAGAGAAAAATCCAACTTGCTAGGCACTTTCACTCCAGTTTGGGCAGTCTGACAAGTGAACATTACTGCATGATATATGCTATAAAGAAATAAGCAAAGCAGAAATCAAGGAAGAAATAAAAAAACTTCCTGGAAACAAATGAAAAAGAACACACAACAACCCAAAATCTATGGGACAAAGCAAAAGCATTCCTGAGAGGGAAGTTCATAGCTCTATAGACCTACCTCAAGAAACAATAAAAATTTCTAATAAACTAACACTACAATTTAAAGAATTAGAGAGAGGACAATAAGAAAAGCTCAGTAAGTAGAAGGAAGGAAATAATAAAGATCAGAACAAAAATAATGGCATAGAGACTGAAAAACAAAACAAAAAAACACACCAAAAAAAAAAAAATCAATAAAACTAAGAGCTGGTTCTTTGAAAAGATAAACAAGATTGATGAACCTTTAGCCAGACTCATCAAGAAACAAAGAGAGAGGACCCAAATTAATAGAATCAGAAACAAAAGAGCTAAAATAACAATGGATACCACAGAATTACAAAGGATTACCAGAAAATACTATAAACAACTCTATGCCAACAAGTTGGACAAATTCCTAGAAAAATACAGTCTTCCAAAACTAAATCAGGAAGAAATGGAAAACCTGAATAGGCCAATAACAACTCATGAAATTGAAGCAGTAATAAATAATAATAATAAGAATAATAATACCTCTCAGCAAACAAAAGCCCTGATCCAGCCATCTTCACAGGGGAGTGGTATTAAATATTCAAAGAAGAACTAACACCTATCCTCAAACTATTCCAAAAAATCCAAGAGGAAGAAACACTTCCAAACTCTTTCCATAAGGTCAGCATTTAAAAACACTACAAAGATAATTACAGGCCAATATCCCTGATGAACATAGATGCTAAAATCCTCAACAAGCCCTAACTGGTTTGACTCAGTGGAAATAGCACTGGCCTGCAGACTGAAAGGTCCCAGGTTCGATTCCAGCCAAGGTCATGAACCTTGGTTGTGGTCACATCCCCAGTAGGGAGTGTGCAGGAGGCAGCTGATGGATATTTCTCTCTCATCGATGTTTCTAACTCTCTATCCCTCTTCCTTCCTTTCTGTAAAATAAAATGCATATTAAAAAATCCTCAACAAAATATTAGCAAATTAGATTCAGCAATATATTAAAAAGATCATATAGCATGACCAAATGGGATTTATTAAAGGGATGCAAGGCTGGTATAATATTCACAAATCAATAAATGTGATATATCACATAAACAAATTGAAAGACAAAAGTCACATGATCATATTAATAGATGTAGAAAAAGCATTCAACAAATCCAACACCCATTTTTGATAACTCTCAGCAAAGAAGAAATAGAGGGATCATACCTCAACATAATAAAGGTCATGTATGATAAACCTATAGCCAACATCAAGCTCAATGGGTAAAAACTAAAAATTTTCCCTAAGAACAGGAACAAGACAGGGATGTCTGCTTTCACCACTCTTAGTCAACACCAGAGGCCTGGTGCATGAAAATTTGTGCACTGGGCGGGGGTGGGGGGAGGTTTGGGGGAGGATCCCTCAGCCCAGCTTATGCTCTCTCGCATTCTTTTTTTTTAATTTTATTTTATTGATTTTTTACAGAGAGGAGGAGAGAGGGATAGAGAGCTAGAAACATCGATGAGAGAGAAACATCAACCAGCTGCCTCTTGCACACCCCCTACCAGGGATGTGCCCACAACCAAGG